TCGTCTTCGATTGGAATGGCATGGGTCATGGAAGCCTTGAGAGTTCTCTAACTTAGTGATATCATACCCAAAGTTGTGTGGCACCCAATGTGACCAAGCCAAAAGCTTTTTGTCTAGATTTTGTTGAGTGTTAAGGTGGTGACGTCAATCAAGACTTGGGTAGGGACTTTATGCTTGAGAAGGTGCAAGATCTTAGGGGCCTCTACCTTAGCCATGTCGAGTGCGGGTTGTGTAGCGTCGGGCATGGAAGGGGTGGTAGAGGCTAACTACCTAGATGGCGCTGGGTGTAAGGTGAGGAGCATCGGGCATTAGTTGTTGAAGAAAAAAATTATATGGTTGATGAAGTGTTGATTTCTTGTTAATTTAAGTTATTAAATGACGTAGTATATGATGATTGTGTTGTTGAAAACCTTTATTGGGATGTTGACCTTGAAGTGGATGTTGTGTTGTTTCCTGTCTAGGACTTTGTTAGTATCATGTATGGATAAGGTCGAGACACACATGTACGAAACGACCATAATATAGGGATCGAGTTGAGCTATACTGATTTCAAGTGACTAATCGAATAAAGTATGAAGTTGAGAATTTAGTTCCTAACTAAGATTATAAGGTTGTAGTATTTGGAGGCTAGTCAATGGGATAATCTCATAGGAGACTTGGTTAAGCTAGCTAATATCATGGTAGTCTCATACCCAATTGTTCTACCTTGATAGTAGTAAAATACTTCCTTGTTTAAGTGGCAACGTCCGAGAAATCAAGTTGTTATATTGTGGATTTATATCTAATTTGTTGTTGATCTAGCAAGCCTAAAAAGATCACCTTGTGTTGTCGATTTGATAAGGTCAAATCATTTGAATTGCTCACCTCGTATTGTAGGAGATCTCCTAGTTGAAATGCGTGATGACGCGTATAGTTGTTGTGTTGAATATATGATGTGTTAAGTTGATTGTGTTGTTCATATGTTGTGCTAAACTGTGATGAAAATGTTGCTATGATGAATTTAAAGTTGTTGTTATGTTGATCTGTGCTATATATTGTGTTGTCTTGTTGTTGTGTTGTTAAAAATGAGATGATGTCATGGTTTTTGTGTTATATTTATGTCATTTATTTTTACTCTAATTTATCCTTACATATTTCATAATGGTTTAGACTGCGATGAGTATATGTGGTATGACAATAAGACAAGAATAGGACTGAAGTGTTGCTATGGAAGCCACTTAGTAGCATAGGAGTGAGAGCATGTTTTGTTGATTACTCGACAATGGTAGATTTGTATAGACAATTGTAGTTGCTTGACCAACAATTTAGAATGTATAGTTTACTTTATTGAATCATTGTATTTATGTTGCTCTTATTTATTTAATTGATTTTATGCATGTAGTATAATACATTTTTTTGGTATTTATATGTCTATAGTCTAAAGTTAGAAGTTTTCTATTGCTAATAATTGTGCCGTATAATATAGGGGTCAAGGTGGATAATTACATTATAATTTTTAAATTATTAAATTTTAATAAAACAAAATTAAAATTAAAAATGTTTAATCATCTACATTTTATGTTTTTTTTAATATTTTCCTTTTGATTTATATATTTAACATTTCACTTATATTATTTAAATATCTTTTAATTTTATATTTTTATCTTAATAGAAAAATATTCATACAATGTAAAATTGTATTTGCTAATTCTTTGAAAACATTAATTATAAAAGGAAGTATTAAATATTTTTAAAAATTAATTAGAATTTTTATTTTTAACATTTTATGTAATTATATTTTCAAAGCAGCTAAAATAAAATATTAAACGCCGTCTGTGGGGATCGAACCCACGACCACGTGGTTAAAAGCCACGCGCTCTACCACTGAGCTAAGACGGCTTGGATGTTAATAAAGTACTGTGCATTCAACTTTTTCATATCTTACTACACGTGCAATCATGGACGTGAAATTTTAGGGCAACTGACAGAGAATTAAATATCATCATTGCTATGGAATAAGTGCCATATGTAAAACACAAGAGCTTGGACTAAGGGTAAAATTCAAATATATTTTTTATTATTAAACTTTTAACATAAATTAACGCTTAGTAAAAACATATTTTTGAATATAAAATACTTTCATATTGTTTAATTTGAAATCTTATAGAAAAAATATAATAAATTTGATTTATGTTTTTTTTTGGTAGTTAAATTTGATTTATGTTTTGCCTATATACTAAAATTATATGGAGATGTATTTTCTCTGTAAAAAAAAAGATTTACATCTAAATGCTCTTTACATTTCACTTGTCAACGTTTAAACGTTATAAATTTATGGTTTTAAATTTTCTCATAAGAAATATATAAAAATGAATTTATTAAACTCTACGCGAACGATGATATATTTTAGTATAATTACTTTTATATCATTTACAGACAGACACGAGAAAGAAACGGAAAAAAAAATTTAAAAAATTTTAAAAAAAATCCTAAAATTAAATTAAGGCTAAAAACTTATTTTGGTCCCTTATAATCTTTTTTTGTTTCAATTTAGTCTCTCATTAATTTTTTGTCTCAATTTGGTCCCAAACTAATTAATTGGTTTCAATTTAGTCCTAGATTAATTAATTAGTTTCAATGTGGGACTTTCCGTCCAAATTGCTTTAACAGTGTTAATTTTTGGCCACGTGGACGCCATGTAGATGCATACGTGAATGCTACGTGGATGAGAAATTTTTTGAAAACACCTAGACCCAGAACGACCAGTTCTGAAACCGGAACGGGCCGTTCTGGGTGCACTTTTGGTCTGTTGATTTTGCATCCGGAACGCCCCGTTCCATGTGCAAAATTAACACACCGAAAATGCAACCAGAACGGCCCATTCTGGTTTCAGAACGGGCCGTTCCAGTTTTATTTTATTTTTTTAATATATAAAATATTAATAATTTTATAAAATATATATTAATAATTATATTTTAATTATGTTATTATATCTAATAAAATAAATATATTAATATTTTTTTATATTTTATTTTATTATGTTTATCTTATTAATTTTTATCATTTTATTCCTTTAATCTTAAATAAGTTGCAAAAAATTATAAAGTGATATTCCATTTATCTTATTAATTATTATATTTTTTAATAAAATTAATTAAGAATATTGGTTTAATTGCATTTTTTATCCCTCAAGTATTACAATTGTGCAGTTTTGTGATCTCCAAGATTTTAATTGCATAATTTTAGTCCTTAAAGAATTGCAATTGCGCGATTTTGGTCCTTCAATTTTTAATTGAACAATTTTAGTCCCTCAAATATCATAATAGTATGATTTTTGTTTCTCCCATTAAAAATTAATAATTTTAATATATATATATATATATATAATGTTTTAAAATTAAATAATTATTTATCTATTCAAATTAACGTATATTATAATTTTCGATATTATATCAATAATATTATTAATATATTTATAGATAAACTAATAATTTGATAAATATAACTTGTTATATATTAATATACTTTTACAAAAATATAAGTATATTAATTAGAAATATATATCTGATCTTATATATTTATATTTTTGTAAAAGTATATTAATATATATTAAGTTATATTTATCAAATTATTAGTTTATTTATAAAAAGGGTAAAAATATTATTGATATTAATTTATCAGTAATATTAAAATACTAATAATATATAAATTTTATTTATTTAGTAATAATAAATATATATCATTTGATACATTAAAAAAAATAATATACGTTAATTTAAATAAACAAACAATTATATAGTTTTAAAACATTATATATATATATATATATTAAAATTTTAAAATTATTAAATTTTTAATGAGAAAGACTAAAATTGCACAATTATGATATTTGAGAGATTAAAATTGTTCAATTAAAAATTGTGAGACTAAAATTACACAACTATAATCTTTTAAGGACTGAAATTACTCAACTAAAACCTTAGAGATCAAAATTGCATAATTATAATATCAAAAACACAATTAAGTAAAGAATATTTTATTCACAGTTTTGGAACAGGCCGTTCTGAATCTAGGCGGCCGGTTCTGAAAGCAGAATGGGCCGTTCTGGTTTACCCGTTCTGCTTCACTGGTGGTGTTTTAATTTTGCAACCAGAACGGCCCGTTCCGATTTTAGAACGGGCCGTTCCGGTCCAGGAGTTTCCAAAAAAATTCTCATCCACGTGAATACCACGTATGCATCTATGTGACATCCATGTGGCCAAAAGTTAACACCGTTAAAGTAATTTGGACGAAAAGTCCCACATTGAAACTAATTAATTAATCTGGGACTAAATTGAAATCAATTAATTAGTTTGGGACCAAATTGAGACCAAAAATTAATGAGAGACTAAATTGAAACAAAAAAAGATTATAAAGGACCAAAATAAGTTTTTAACCTTAAATTAAATAGTTTGCTTATGTCCTCACTAGTCACTACCAACTCATCGCAGTCATATCAAAAGAGTGTAACCTGGTCCGTTTTCTAGCCAAACCAGTGACCTCAAATTTTTTAGTGAACCAATATATTGCAAATTATTTTGGGAATTTTAAGGTATACCATGCTCTCTCTCTTTTATATATATATATATATATATATATATATATATATATAATATCGAAAAGTAGATGTATCTTATTGATATAGGTAGTAAAAATTAATTCTTTTAAGTCATTCTCAACTATACAAATCTTATACTTTGTAGAATCTCTGGATAAATAATTCTAATTAACTTTTTTCTAATATATTAAGTTATGGATAACATATGCCTATAACAATAATAATATGTATAAATTTTATTTATTTAGTAATGAAAATTATATATCATTTGACATGAATGAAAATTATAATATATGTAATATAAATATGTCAACAATTGAATAATTTCAAAACAATATATATATATATATATATAATTTTTAAATGTAAAACATCCTCATGCCAATTGCTGATTCAATCAATATCCCATGATTTGCTTTGGTTGTCACGTAGAGATATGCAGACATATATCATTACTTCAGAAACTACCACAACAATATTTGAAAACAGTGTAACAAATTAACAATCCATCTGTCCGCTACTCTAACAATAAACAAAAAGGGTTTTCAAGGGTGGGGGAAAGGTAACTATGTCCTCACATTGTTACAGCCTCTCTCTCTCTCAGGTTCCGCTGGAATCATCACCTATATGATATCTGAAATCAATCAATCTTCACCGAAGAGTAGATCTTGCGAACAAACCAGAAGCATGCATAGAAGCCAATAGTTCCCGTCAACACAAAGAAGGCATATGAAACAATGATCATATATCCAAAGTAAAGGATTCCTGAGACCAGCTTTGAAATTTCCAACTTGGTAAAGAAGTAGAAAATTGAGTAGAGGAAAAGGTACAGAGCCGAGGACCCAGCAGTGAGGTAAGATCTCCACCACCAATTGTAATCCTCACTGCACAATTGGAAGTAGCAAAGCACAATAGTAATCTCTGCGCAGGTGATTAGCAGAATAACAAAAACTATGAAAAGGAAGCCAAAGATGTAGTAGAACTGGTTCAGCCATATTGATGTCAGGATAAAGAAGAGCTCGATAAACACTGCACCAAATGGAAGAATGCCTCCAATAAGAATCGAGAAGACAGGTTTCATATACCATGCCTGCTCAGGTACCTGCCTAGGAATTTTATTAGTCTTCACTGGATCTTCAATTGCTGGTTTTTTAAAACCTAAGTAACTGCCCACAAAAACCAAGGGTACCGATATACCAAACCATAAGCAGACCAGAGCAAACATTGTTCCAAAAGGGACTGCCCCAGAGGACTGCTCCCCCCAGATTAAGGCATTCAGCACAAAGAAGACAGCAAAAAGAATGCCTGGAAACATAAATGCAGTTTTCAAGGTATTCCTTTTCCATTCTGTGCCCTTGAACATCTTGTACAAACGTGCTGAGGCGTACCCAGCAAATAAGCCCATAAAAACCCACAATAGAACCATCGCAGTCATGAGACCTCCCCGATTAGATGGAGACAAGAACCCTAGCAAAGCAAATATCATTGTCACAAGTGTCATTGCAAAGAGCTGAACACCAGTACCGACGTAAACACACAGCAAATTTGAATTGACTGGTGGCCTGAAAACATCTCCGTGAACAAGCTTCCACCCTGTTTCTTCTTGGGCCTCATCTTGGGTTTCTAGTTGATTATAATTGGCAATGTCTCTGTAAAGAGTTCTCATCATGATCATGGCCACCATTCCAGACAGGAAAAGAACAATCATCAGAGAGTTAATGATAGAGAACCAGTGGATCTGATCGTCATTCATTAAAAGATATGTGTCCCACCGTGATGCCCATTTGATCTCACTTTCCTAAAAAAATACCAACAAACTGGTTTATCGTATCATATAGTGAATGAGGTGAAAGTTGTTGAGCAGCCAAGATTTTAATCAGCAATACCTTGAAGGAAACATCATATGTGAACACGATATCCTTTTTTGTATCAACTTCTTGTGGGACAGTACTACCTTGCATCAAATTCTTGGTATCTTTATTGCATGTTGTTACCTGTGGATTCTTGTCATTCCACTCCTTGAATTCATGATTTATACTGTTTACAGTTACAGAGTTCATATAAGAAAGACACACTATGCAGTGAATTGAAATCAAACAAGAAAGCAATCAAACATACAGAAACACAAAAGTTAGATATAAATTTGAAAACATCTCCATGAACACATCTCCGTGCTTAATTTTAGAGATATAAATTCAACACATACATAAATACAGAAGTTATGAGTCATGACACTTACCAAGAAAGAAGTACGGAACATCTCAGAGCCCATTTATAAGATATCTAATGCCAAAATATTATTTATCTTCAAACAAATGCAACATCACAAAGAAGGTAAGATCTATTAGAGTATCGTCCAACTAATATTTTTCAGTTTTCTTTCTTACAAACAACATCCTATTCCAAATACAAAATATAAAACCCAACAAAGATCAACCATGTTAAGCCGACATAAGAATGCAACACCCCCTTAACACACACACACCCAGAGAGAGAGAGAGAGAGAGAGAGAGAGATAGTGGAGAAAAGAACAAGACCTGTTTGGTGTGACCTCAAATCCAACAATACGTGCAGCACCAGTTTCAGGATCCTTGTGATACATGACTCTAAAGCTCAAGTGGTTATTGATAAAATATTTCTCCTCCTTACTCTGTAAGAAAATAGAAAATTTGTTATGATATGTTGCAACAAAAATGATATATGAAACTTCAAAACAAAATTAAAACTAAGTTATACCCCTTGATAGTTTCCTTTGAATCCAACACGAAAACCATGTTCATATGTTGTTGATTGACTTCCATCCCTCCTTTGTCTAAGAACAGCAACTGGAAGGTTATCCAAAATCCTGCACGTTCAATTCAGAGATTCAAAGGGTCAAGATAATACAAAGCAGAAAACTATAGACAAGCACCCAACAGGCCAATGAATCTTATCAAACTAATTAAATGAACTCATGCTACAAAACTAAGCACTAGCTCCACATTTACCACTTACATGTTCACTCGATATTCATCATCAATTTTTTCTTTAAAATTCTTCGCAGAATCAGCATCCAAAGTTATATGACAAACAACAGTACAAGACTGTTCCTTCCTCATATGAAACTGGAAACAAAAAACAAATCCTTTAGGTTGCCAGAACAAAACAAGGAAACAATGGTCACTGAATTTATGCTGCCATGTTATCCAAGTGTTAAAGGATGAGGTAACAGATGCTCACTGTATATACTGAATTCTCAATGCGATCACCTCTAAGAACCTCTCCCAAATTTTCCGCACTGTTCAATATCTTCTTGGGCTTGCAATAGTTCAAGTAGTAGTAGTCATATGGAAGCTGAGTCTTCGTAGACGACAATTTGTTCACTTTGACATAGAGGGGGTCACCCTGATCCCACACATGAAACAATAACTCAATATCTTCATTCTCCAAGCACAAACAATCAGCAACCAACAATAACAACATATTGAAACATCAAAACACTCTAACCTCAACCAATTTTTCTCAAATCTACAGTTACAATTCGCAAATGACACACTACATTTTTCATTTCCTAACACAAAATAAACATAAAGAGCCAATTACAGAAAGAGTTTTTCACGTTCACCTATAAAAACACAACCCAGTTTCATCACTCGTCACCAGCGACGAAAGAGCTCGAAACCGAAAACACAAAAGATCTCCCGATATTCCGTCTTCAGAATTAGCAACACGAACACGACTATCATTCTACGGAAAAAACTAATAACGATTCCATAATAACACACAACATTCTAAAGTCAAACAAATCACGCAACGATAAATCAGTGCTTTCACGAACACAGCGGAAAGCGGATTAAAGAGCGATTGGACGCAGATCAGAGCTAAAACCCTAGATCCGAGCAGCCGTAGGAGTGAGTAAAGGTGATCTCGAAAGGAAAGAAGCATATCGCGAGGAAATTGGAAGAAGAGCGGAAAAGTAAAGGAGAGGAGAAAGGGAAAACGTACAATTTGGAAATCGCGAGGAGCGACGCCGGGGAGGTAGAAGGCGTGGACGGAGGAGATGAGGAAGAGAGCGGAGAAGAGGAGGGAGATGGCGGTGGTTGCCATCATCTTCTTCTTCATTGGTTTGGTGAGGTGAGAGAAAGAAAGATGCAGAGATGATATATAGATAGATATGGAGAAAACCAATGAGGTGTCACTGTTAACTGGGCTAGGCTACTCCTCCTAACTCAATACACACCCAGATACTTGTAATAAACCTTCTTTTTTTTCTTAATTTAATAATAATAAACTAATAAGAAAAGAGTTTAATGTCATGCAATCTGCCAATATCAACTATAAAAATAGTATACAAGTTTAAAAACTTACCATATATAATTTACAATTTTATACATTATTAATGTATAAACTTTTTTAATAAATATTTGTGGGATGACAGACCTAAATAGTCTAGGATTTAGTTTGAATTCATGTTTTTGAAATTATTTTTTAATAGATATATCTATTCAAAATGTGTGTTTCGTGTAAAAAAAATTAGTATTTCATTAGTTTTCTGTTAGATAATTATGAAAAAAAAACTTTGCAAATAACACCCAAATAATTTATACATATATATGCAATAAAGTTTTTGCAAAAACAACTAATCAACTATACAAACTCCAAAAATTATACATATGACCCTAGGTTGCTAGTCAAGCAACTTTGCCAAAAAAACTAAAAGAGTAGTTTCCGGCTACATCGTTATCCAACAACATGGCTTTGTACCTTCCTAACTCCTCAAACTTATTCCTACTTTGCTCCCATGTAAACATAATCATTGTTGTCTAACTACAAAAAAGAAATGCAAGGTAAGTTAGATTTTAAAAGAATAAACATATATCAACTACCGAAGGAATGCAAGTATATTATAAATATCAACATGTAAATCATGTCATATCACCTCATGGACTAAAACACCATAACAACTCAATCATGGCATCAACAAGTTTGAAAGACAAACAATTCAAGTGTATCAAACTTACACCACAACATGTCATTTAATAAGGTAACCACCCATGCATATGAACAACACAAAATCACACCACATCATATGTATACACCTCAAGTGATGTGTTGTCACGCATTCACCTATGAAAATCTCCTATAGCAAGATGAGCAATTTATGTGGTTTAATTCTATTGAATGAACATCACCTTTTTACACATGTTAAGTTAACAACCAAATGGGATACCAATTCCTACAACATTATCTTAAGTATTGCTACTTAAACTAAGAATGTCCAGTACCACTGTCAAGTATAACATAGTTTGGGTATGGATTTACCTCAACATTAACATGCATTAATTAAGTCCCTTACAAATTATAGCTTAGCTAATTATCCTTACGATGCCACAAATTTCTCCAATAATCAATTAAGGGTGCAACTACCAACTTTATACATTGCTCCAACATTAACTAAAGATTTAGAGGAGACTCAACAATCCACTTCAAGAGATAACACCTACTCAAAGAGAGTTTTTTAATAACTGGACTTAGAGCACTATGCCAATATCCACACAATGAGATATCTAACTTTCAAAACCACTTTCTTCTCTAGTCCTAAGTCAATCAACATGCCTAAAGGCCTATAACATTTTCAGCATCACACCTCAATAATATTCATCCATAGGCATTACCCTAGGGTAATGAATATAGATCTAACAACACCAATCAATTTGCAACAAAATTGCGCCTCACCAACTAAACCATACAACCATCTACATATATTATGACAAATAAATAAATAAATAAATATATATATATAAACATACACAAACATTTATATATACACTCAACCACACTTAGCAACACACAACATGCAATAAATTCATCTAACATATCCATGTTCAGATAATTAGAAATGACAATTTGGTGAAACACATTTATTGCATCAACAAACACTTTTTTTGCAAGGAACAAAGATGAAGACAAACGAAACAAAACTTGTGGGAGATGTTCAAGGATTTGTAACGATCATCTTCGTGAAACAACAATATAAAAAAAAACTTGAAGATTCAATCGAATATAAACACTCATATAAAGAAACATATAGAGAGAACAATTGTAAAACTTTTATACATTTTTTTCTATAAAAAGTTTTATACTAAATTGGTTGTGTTGCATCTTGATAAGAAGACGAAACAACAAAGTGATTTCCTAGCTTTAATTTTGTGTTATTATTTTGAGCACGAAGAGACTTAACTATAAAAGAATACTTAATTATTGGAACTTTAAGAGATTTGATTATAAAAGAATATTTGGTTATTAAAGCCGAGAGAGGTTTTGTGTTTAAAGAATATTAAGGTAATTGCTTCAAAAAGCAAATCAAAAAACACTTAACTTGAGCCAAAAGTTACTTGTGAAAGAATATTTGTATATTTGTAAAAGATAATAGAATTTAATTAGGTTGATCAAGAACAGTAGTAGTCTCGATGGTTGAGACGAACCAATATAAAAATACTGTTTGTTCTTTTTTCTTAACTTGTTGCCTACACTCGTGAGACTTTGTGATAGACTATGGCCATGGCCAAGGAATCCAAGAGGTGATATACTAAAAGAACCAAGAGGAATGGGATGATCTTAAAGACCTTTTTCTTATGTTTGTACATATAGTAGCTCTTTTGTATAGGTTATTTTTGTCTTTGTATTTGTGAGGCACTTTACTTGCTTTTTCTAGTGTTTGTATATTGATTTTAAGGTAGGCTACTTGGAGAGTTTAACTCCATTTAACCTCCCTAGTTGATACATTCATTTTGTATTTTTTCAGTAGAGAAAAGGGGGTGACATTTAGCAATACTTGAGGGTGTGACTAGTAATTGGGCCAGAACTGGGCCTAGGCAAAATTTTGCATATTGGACTCATTTTGCTCCTAATTTTTCATAGATTTGATTTAGCTAGGTCTCATCATCATATGATGAACCTAACTAAACCAAATCAAATATTTTTGAAATAAATCTTGGAGCAATTTGGAGCCAAGGCCGCCTAGCATTCTCTCTTGTTCATGGCCGAAAATTACTAGTTTTCCTTCTAGTTTTTGAAGCTTCTCCTCCAAGTTTCTAAACCATTGTTAGTTAGACTGACCTTACCATGGTTCTTAAGTGAACCATGGTCAAGGATAGCTTCTCCTACAAGTTTTAGAAACCATGGATGGTTAGCTACACCTTACTATGGTTCCTAGTGAACCATGGTTAAGGTTAGCTTCTCCTAGAAGCTACCTTCCCTATATATTTGTAAAACCCTCTCTTGTAATCACTTTTGGACATTTATGAGAAAAAGAATTCAGAATTCTCTCTCATTTTCAAGAGTCAAAATTCGTGAGAAACCTCTCTTAGGTTTTCTCTCAAGGTTCCTTCTCCTAGAAGCTTGGTTTCTCAAGCTTCTTCACTTCTTCAAGAGGTAACCGAACCTCTCTTAGGTGCTTCTCCACCATTGGAGAATCCTCCAAGGTGATTCCGCCACCTTCAAGGAGTTCAACCTCATGGAGCATTTCGGTCCTTGCATGGAAAGCTTGGAAGAATATCAATCCTTTCCAAGTACTTCCATCACTTTGTAACTACCTCACTATTTCAAAAAAAGTGATGAGCTTTTGACTAAAATTATTCAACCTTTCTTCTAGTATTTTTTCTTTTCTCCACAACAACAATTCATTTCGCATAAGAATTCTAACATGCAACCACAATTCTCAAAATCACCAAGTTTTTCTCCTTGAAACCCAAAAACACCAAGTTCAACTACACATTTAGAATCATGCAATTCAATAATATAATTGCAACTATTTAACATCCAAGTCATGAAATCAGCCCACTAGTAACCTAACAATTCAATAAGAGCGAAAGATCTAACTTTCCTTACTTTGAGGCCAAACTGAAAGACAAGCTTCGCACCAACATTGATCTTTAGCTTCAACAACTTTGAATCACAACTTTTCTAATCAACAATGATCTTTTATGCCTTCATGGAGTATATAAAGAAGAAAGGAAGAACCAAGGTTCTAAAGTCCTTTTCTCTACTTTATCTCTCTATATTTTTTAAGAAATGAGTTTATGAGGCTCAAATCTCAAAAGAAAACCTATATACCCTCCTTTCAAGATTAAATTGGACCTCTACCGAAAAAAATCCTCTAAAACACCTAAAGACTCTTCAAAAGTTCCTCAACTCCTAGAGTCTCTAAACACTACACCTCAAAATACCTCAACACATAATTATTGCTAAAAGATAACAATTAACGAAAACTTACAGTGTTACATGTTGAATGTGGATTTACTTATATAGAAAAATTTCCAATAGAGATACACATAAAAGCAATGATAAGTGTTCAAAACAATTTAAACATTCAAAAAATTTGTGTGTATCTCTCTTCCACAATAAAAACAAAGAGAATACACACTAGTTGACCACTCAAAATGAATCTTAAAAATTCTTGATAAGACATGAGTTCACTACTTTTTTTATAATTAAAATGGTAGATAATGGATGATATTTCCATAACTATCGGGTAAAGAGTCAATGACATGTTAAAGATTCTCAGACCAAACACCATTGTCCACTTAGTGTTTAGTCAAAGCTCAACAGTCTCTAATTTGATCTAAGACCTTATTTGCCAAATTAGCCCACCAAAGAAATTTCATCTTTGGTGCCAAGAGATTTTATTGAGTAGATATATATGCGCACCAAAGCAAGATTTTATGGTTTTAAGGGATGTTGAACTCGCATCATGAGAACTATAAACTTAGATCAGATCATGTACCATTTGTGCCAATCCACAATGACATACATGAGTTCACTATAAGAATGAGTAAAATGAACTGAATTGATAAAAATTACACTAAATTAAAAAAATTGTGTATATTGAATAAAATTATATATTAGTTTAGACAAACTAAATTTTAAATTTTTTTGTTTTATTAAATTCAATTGTACTTTGTGGATTAAATTATTTCGATACTTTGAATAAAACTATTTTAGTCCGTTAGTTTTTTAAGATATGCCATATTCATCTAATTTATTTAATTTTCTATTTTATTTAAGCTTTAAAAAAGAAAATATAAAAAAAGAGTCAAATAGACATGGCTTCAAACCCTAAAAGTTAATGCTTAACTTTTTTCAATAGATTTATTAAGTTTAACTAAATTGACACAATAAATTTTTGGATTACTTTTTTTTTAAGAGTTTTGGTTATTGAGTCTT